ATAGCTCTGCCTTCATTTTTCTCCATCTGTAAAATGAGGATCATAATGGAAGCTACTCACAGCTATTGTGAAGATTAAATGAAATACCGAATGAGAAGCGTACGGCACAGGGCCTGAGTACATAGAAAACCTTTAATACATGTTAGCTATTGTTACTGGGCATTATCCCTGGATACCTCGGTTAGTCATGGCCAGTATCAAAGAGTTCAGATGACATGACCTCCCAGATCCCCTGTGGCTAAACTGTCCTGTTGCAATTCTTAAGGCTTTATTTCTAATCTTCTTCTTTGGAACAAGCCTAAAACCTTTTAGAGGGATGTCCCTCTGTTTTCCTTTTTCTATTTTTCCCTTCATTTCCTCCACTTTTATCTCTAGCAAAACCAGAGAAAGGGGTGGCCTGATTAAAATTCTGGAAGTAAGAGTTTCTCTCACTTACCTTTAGCTAGATAGGAGGGGGCATTCTTGTTGTTATTGTTTATATAAAGCAAACTATTAGCTGGATCTAAAATTACAAGAGAGGAAAAATGTGGGAAGCCGTTTCTCTTTTATTGTTTCATGATAAAGGGGCAGCATATACTCGGCCCCTCCAGACTTCAAGGAGAGAACTAAGGAAATTTTCTCATGAAATGTAACCCAGCTCTGGGTCTCCTTTGCACTGAAGGCTTGAGTGCTAGCCAAATTTCCCCTCAAGACTAAACAGGTAGCTTCCATACTCCCAAGTTAATTAGAACCTCAAGCCCGTGAATGTCACCTCTGATAAGTTAGTAAGCATTTACTGAGTAAATGAAATCAGAACTCTTGAAAGTCTAAAGCAGCTGAAGCAAGTCAAAGGGCTGCATTTCTGAGAAGCTGCACTTTCTGAACTCCTGAAGAGCAAAAGGAGAGCAAGATCAAGGGCTCTTTTTAAGGACCAAGTAGTTGAAATAACTGTACTAGTTTCCTAGGATTGCCCTGGGTTTAAGCCCAGAATGTCTCCTATCTTGGGAAATCCTTCAGTCTGTGCACAACGGACATTTGGTTGCCCTAAAATAAAAACTTAAGTTGTGGTTGATAAAAATAAAATTCAGTGGAAAATGGTACTTATATGATTTTCCAAATTAAGCATCTTTAAGACAAATACAATAATATAAATATAAGTTGAAAAAGCATAATGACTAAATATTCTCATAAGAAGATCCATATTTAGGCAATTCCCGGCCAGTTTGTCCATGTAGTTATCGTGGTTTATTTGACAGCACTTATTCTAATTGCAAACTTGATTCCTACAAGGCACTAATTAGCCTTTATAAGGCTCTTTCTGAAAACCCAAACCTTAACATGACACCAAACATCCCAGGCGCCAAGAACGGAGAAAGTTTCCAAAGGAAGTTGCTTAACGTTTTCAATGATGGGAGGTCAAGGAAGGAGGAAGGGTGAGTGGACCTTCCAGAGAGCGATGCTGCTGGTGTGGTGGAGACGGAAGCCAGATTACTGGGCCCAAGGAGCGAACTAGTGGAGAGGAACCGACCAGCCCCACACCACTTATGCAACATATTTGACAGGGAAAGGAAGTCAAGCAATGACGCAGTAGCAAGGTCAAGAGAAAAATCTGTCGGGATGGAGGAAAGTCGAGTGTGTTGAAGGCAGAGCAAAAGAAACCAGGCGTGAAAGCTTACGTGGAGCCTGTTGCGAGTCTTAGCAAGAGTGAGAGCAGAGGATCTCGGCTGGTGGGCCATTCAGACTGTGATACCAACAGGTACTGAAATGGAAGACCCTGGCCCAAGTGCCGGGGATCCTCCCCTCTAGCTAGCCACATCTTTTAAGGCCTCGCTCAAGACCCAGCTACTACTGCCGTAAATGACTCGTGCCCTAGCAGAGGGTCTGGACTCTGGGAGAAAGCCAATTGCAATCATATGGCAGCAGCCAAAATGAAAACAGTCTCAGAGTAAGAAAAACAGGATAAATGGAAAGGTTTTGGAGTGTACAGATTAGGTCCCTGACACTGGATAAACATCCAAGGCAAGAAAACTTCGAGTAATCAGAGTTCCTCTTCTCCAAACTGAGATGATTGTTTTTTGCTATTAGGAAAACCCCAACATGTGCAAGGCCACCCCTAACATGTGCAGGGCCTGGAGCAAGAGTACAAATGGAGGCCCATATACCCTATGCCTAAATATACAAATGTGCTACATCAGGCTACAAATGTGGCAATGCCCACGCCCCCTCTCATCCTAACCTGGGTTCCATCTGGCACACTGAGGGGCCTGTGGGCACACAGGGACCACTGAGCTCCACCCACACCCAGAGGCCTGGAATGTTCCCATCAGCAACCCCTGAGTGACTGAAAGACTGCCCCACCTTCCCCAACCAGGCTTGAGGCCGTTTGCACTGGAATTCAGGGACTCATACCAAGCATGTTCTAGACGGTCCAGGGGACACATCCATCATACCCGTTGGCCCATGAGAAACTTTACGATAAGGGGTGGGGTGTCGCAAGACGAGAACCAGGTTGGGTGCCCAGGGCAGGATCCTTCTTGCCTGGGTTGAAGAGCCACACTAGACACAATTTCTTTTCCTGGAGTTACATTTTATCATTGCATTCTCCTGATCTGAACTCTTGGACAAGGCTTTTTATGTCAAGGCTTCCCACAATATTGACTGTAACAGTCCACAGCAGGCTGAGGGGCTCAGAAAGAATGTTCCCGAAACCCAACAAACTCATTCACACCCGGCTTTGGTGCTCTAGGGAGCAGAGAGAGGCCCCAAACGGGGTGTTCTCTGATCCTTTCCAGCTCTCTTTATCAGATAAAGCAAATTACAGATTACCTCCTGACAAAGGAAGAGCAGAGTGTTCAAAGATCTTAAGTAAAGATGGAAGTATAGTTTTCTGATGGCGTCTAAAGAGGAACTGTTTTGCACAGGTTATTTAGATGGAATCCAAATCACTTTAGGACTTCAGTTTAACCATTTAAAGTGGGGTAAGAGCTGATGCCTTCTTCTGTCTCTTTCCCCAGACTGAGGTTCAAGTTCGGGCTGGAAGGAGCTAAAGGGTGGAGGCTTTGGGGTCTGACTCAAGAATACCATGTAGGCCATGCATTCAGGGGATTAATCCCACAAGGGGAGTCAACATACCTGCCTCTACCCTTTACCTGGCTGGCTGACTGGGAAGTTGCCTACCTTGGGCCTGTTTCCTCCTCTGTGAAAAAAAGGGTCAGCCTAGATGATTTAGAATTTTTCTTGGGGTAGGGGGCCAGGGGAATCCTTGAGCAATTTGATCTCCCAGGAAGTCCTTTAGGTGAACACAGTTAGCTCTCCCTGTTAACATACCCACATTTCACCTGTGGTGTCCCAGCCTCTGGGACCCACCTTGCCCCTGGGAGCATCCTCCAGCTACAGAATGTACCACCCAGGCTTGATAACCATCACTGGGGCAGATTTCCAGCCTGAGATGTTCGGTTGCTCTCTTTGAAGACACAAACTATTACTACTCAAATACTTGCACGGAACTTGGGTCCCCAAATGACAGCAACATCACGTGTGGGAGAGAGCCACAAGGTGTTCAGTGGTGCATTTTACCAATTAAATTCAGTTTTGTGTCTTGGAAAACTATTTGCTTCATTAGTAAGCAATCTGGAGGCAGTGATGGAGGCGGTATCTGGAGGCTTGATAGGTTTCAAGGTTTTGGTATATTCTGAAGAAATTATTTACTTAATATAGATGTGATCTCAAAGAAACTTCTTCACACATAGACAAAATAAACCTTATAGTTGAGCACTGGGCAGTGAATTTCTCTTGAAACAGCTGTCATTTTCGTGAACCTACAGCACTACAAGAACTATACAGTTGGGGATACGGTATTTGTTTCCCGGGGTGGGTTGTGAGGATAAATGGGATACCCCAGATAGAACACCGTGCGCCCCCCTCCCCCATTAGGCCGGCGAGAAGCCTGCTCAAAGCTTTCCCCAGGACAGCTGAGAACGTCTGTCTTAGTTGGGTCTGGCACAGAACAGGGCCTCAATAAATATTTACCAAATGAATGAAAGGTTGCCTGCTTTTCTCCGTCTTTTGTTTAGTCGCACTCTGGTTTTAAGCTCCTACAATGAAACCCAGGTCCCTGAATTCTGTCAGTTCCATTAAGGAGTGAGTGGAGAGGGAAGGGGGTAAAGAATGAGCAAGGGAAGCCAGCGGATCCGACACGTGAGGGAAGAAGAAAAAGAAATCCTTAGGGGCTTAGGGCCGACAAAGAGCCAGACGCTGGCGAACCCAAGCAGGAGCACCCCGGAGCCCCGGAGCCGCGCCGGGACGGGCTCCCCGCGCGCCTCCCGCCGAGCGCTGCCCCCGTCGCGGGCCCG